CTGGCTCGAACCCAGGGGCGCGTCGCTAGCGGGCGCCGCCGCCGCTTTGGCCACCACCGCGAGGCGCAAGCCGAAGAAGCCCTCTCCACAATCTAGGGGGGAAACAAACCTACCTCGCTTTTGACCACCCTCGCAAAACGATGCCAAATTGCAGCCTGTACTGGTCAGGCTGCTTGACAAGGAGGCACGTGGTATGGCTTGGTTTTGCCTGGAAGCGAAAGCGGGGTAGGTAATTCACGCTCTGACAATCCCCCCAATGCGTGGCGACGCCCGCGCGGCGCCTGAAGGCGGCGGAAGTCCACAGACCCCGCGGACGGCGCGGAATCGCACGGCGATGGCCCCGCCAGACTGCCCGCCCAGGCCAGCGGCGGGCGGCTGGACACCGCGCGCGAACGCGCGGGGCAGAACTGCGCGCACGAAGCGCGCGGGGGAGCCGCTGCGCCAGCGATGACATTCCCGAGCCGAGAACGGCAAAACGAGGCGACGTGCGCGCGACGCATGGGGATGGCGGGCGCCCGCGGGCCCTGGGCCGGCGGAGCTAGCGAGGCGGGGGCGGGGGGGCCCCCGCCCCCTCGGGCCAGCGGCGGGCGCCCGGCGAAGGCGAGCCAAAGCGCGCGGCTGAATTGCGAGGACGACGCGCGCGGGGCAGAGCGTGGCGCCAAGTGGAAACAAGCCGACCTGCAAACGGCAAAACGCGGCGACGCCACGCGTCGCGCCTGGGGCTCGCGGAAGAGCCGCAGGCTCGCGCCTGGGCCTGGCGGACTTTGTGAAGCGACGGCGGGGGGCTCCCCGCCAAGCCACCCGTTCGGGCCAGCGGCGGGCGCACCGAGACACACCCTGATCGCACCGCCCCCGCTGTTCCGTTCAGGACAATTTGAATGTCCTTCGGCGTCGCGCACTTCCCCACGCCGCGTCGTAGATCGGTTTTCCATCGTCGGCGTCGTCGTCGCGGTCGCCGTCGCCGTCGTCGTGGTCGCCGCCGCCACCGTCGTCTCCGTTTTCGTCGTCGTGGTCGTCGTCGTGGTTGTCGTCGTCGTCGTCGTCAACGTCGTCGTCGTCGTCGTCGTCGTGGTCGTGGTCGCCGTCGCCGTCGCCGTCGTCGCCGTCGCCGTCGTCGTCGTCGTCGTCGTCGTCGTCGTCGTCGTCGTCCGTCGCCCGTCGCCCATCGCCCATCGCCAATCGTCGTCCGTCGCCGCCCTTCCTTGCCCCGCCCCTCCCTCTTCCTCCCGCCCCCCTTCCGCTGCTCGACGCCATTCCCGCGGGGCCCCCGGGCCCCAGGGCTCTCTCCCGGGCTGCCCGCAAAAAACCCGCACCCCGTGTCAGAAGGCAGGTTGCTCTGCGCTGGTCCCCGGGATCGCGGCGGCCGCGGGCGCCGTCGTCGAGGCCGTCGCCGCCGTCGTCGCCATCCTCGCCGCCGTCGCGGTCGCCGTCGCCGTCGGCGTCGTCGTCTCCGTCGTCGTCGTCGTCGTCGTCGTCGCCGTCGCCGTCGGCGTCGTCGTCTCCGTCGTCGTCGTCGTCGTCGTCGTCGTCGTCGTCGTCGTCGTCGGCGGCGGCGTCGTCGTCGTGGTCCGCCGTCCGCTCGTCGTCCGCCATCGTGGTCCGCCATCGTCAGCTGTCGCCGTTCCTCGCCCCTCCCGCCCCGCCCCAATTTTCCGTCCCTTCCCCACTACTCTGAAGGGAAACTGGGACACACAAATAAATACACACAAATAAAAAGATTCCCCATATGTTCCTATATTTTCTGGGTTTTTTGTCTTCCCCACCACTTCCCATATTTTCCCATATTTTCTGGGAAATCGACGATTAATTGTGTCTGTGTGTGTTTTTTTCCTCCTGATACTCAGCAGCATCCGCGCGGGGGTCCAAGAGCTCGTGGACTCCCAGAAAGTAGCCTCACATTATTCACTGCGTGGAGCTCGCATATGGGTATATCATACTCCTGTCGTCTCTCGCTGAAGAACTCTGCCTGTGAGCATCTGGGTGAGAGAGCGAGTCGGCGTAGACGACGGGCGCGACAACGACGACGGCGACAGCGACGACTTCAGTGACTGCACTGGGCATCATCCAAGAGAGATGGGGGAAGTACAAGTGGAAGGGCAAGTGGGCACTGGACTACCAAAGGGGAGAACAATGCATCAATATGAACATGAATGATCTGAGCGCGAGTGAGTCTGAATGTGAATGAGCCCGGGTACAATTGAGTGTGTATCAGTGACTCTAGGTATGAGAGGGTCTGAGTACGCCTGGGTCTGTGAATGCGTAAACCTGACTAAGCGTGCGCATGGACGATCGGGATTCGAGGATCGAACATCCAGACACGAAGTTCGAGGACCGAGGCCTTTGGATGTCTATGGACGGCGTGGCATCTCCTGGGCCCCCAGGGGGATCCAAGGGCCTCCGCTGACCTTTGCTGGCCCCCGGAGACCCCCCAAGATCTCCGAGGACATCGGTCAGTCTACTTTTCCCCGACAGCCTTGAGACCAAAGGGGAGAACAATGCATCAATATGAACATGAATGATCTGAGCGCGAGTGAGTCTGAATGTGAATGAGCCCGGGTACAGTTGAGTGTGTGTCAGTGACTCTAGGTGTGAGAGGGTCTGAGTACGCCTGGGTCTGTGAATGCGTAAACCTGACTAAGCGTGCGCATGGACGATCGGGATTCGAGGATCGAACATCCAGACACGAAGTTCGAGGACCGAGGCCTTTGGATGTCTATGGACGGCGTGGCATCTCCTGGGCCCCCAGGGGGATCCAAGGGCCTCCGCGGACCTTTGCTGGCCCCCGGAGACCCCCCAAGATCGCCGAGGATATCGGTCAGTCTACTTTTCCCCGACAGCCTCTTGAGACCAAAACCATCCTCGCTCCTCCGCCCCCTCGGGGTGACTCTCGGGCCAAAGTGTTCCAGGGATCCATATTTTGTTGATAGGTTTAGCTTTTGTGTTTCACTCCAGGGACAGATGGTCAGAGATCCATCTTGTGTGTGTTCCGTCTCCACTGTGGCTCAAGGGAAAACATTATGTCTCTTCTCCTGCTGCCACAGTTTGTAACGGAGCGGGGTCGGGCCCGGGGCCATGGGCGCGAGCAAGCGGCTGTGACGACCAAGCGGCTCAGCGCTTGAGTGCCTCGCGGTCAGGCTCCGCTCCGACCGCTGAGCGGCGTGGGATCCACGGCAGATGCCCGCAGACGGTGAAGGACAGCTACAAGACGAGCAGTCCGCCGGCATGGCGACACGAACGCCCGAGGCCGCTTCAGCCAGCGGCGGCACTCCTGCAGCAGCAGCAGCAGCAGCAGCAGCAGCAGCAGCAGCAGGAGTGCCTGGGCCAGCGGTGGGCATCGGCACGGAACTGCTGACGCAGACGGTGCAGAGCATCGCGCAGGAGGCTCCGAGGAGTCTCGGCCCTTTTGGCTAGCCGCAGCAGCAGCAGCAGCAGCCAAGGCAGTCATCACCGGTGGCCGCTGAGGATCCATGGGAGAGCCGGGGGTCCGATCCATGGAGCAGCGGGCGCGGAGCGTCAGCCGACCATCAGAGAACGGAAGCAGCAGTAGGCCGACAGACAGGACGGAGAGCTTCAGAGTGTCCAGAAACGGCACCAGGACTGGAGCGGCCGGCGGCAGAGCTCGTGGGCAGGTGGTCGTGGAGATTTCTCCGACCCTCCAGCCTGGCCCGGATGGGCTCACTGCCGCCAGCGGCGGCGCGCCATACGGAGATGGAACGACCACACGGACGTGGCGGTGTGGCGCCGCTCAGAGAAGTTCCTGAGGCTATTCGAGTGGACAATGCAGGCCAAGTTTGAGGACATTCCGGACAGCCAGCTCACGTCAGCAGGCTGGCTCGAGACCCTCCTCGCTAGGATGGACCTGATGATCGGAGAGCGAGAGGGCGACGAGCTGCGTCGAGCCGGACGCAAGGCACTGTATCAAGCCGTCCGCGACTCCAAGGAGTCGCTGACACAGTACGTGAGCTAGCGTGAAGCAGAGTTCATCGAGGCCGAGGGCCATGATCTCTGGATGTCGGACAAGCTGGAGGGCTTATTCCTCGAGGAGGGTGCCCAACTGACAGCTCAGGGCGCTCAGAATCTACGGACGTTGACTCGTGGCGATCTCTCCTACGACAGCGTCAAGTGGGCACTACGTCAGCTCGACTCCTCCACTGGGACCGAGCGGCTGTTGCCTGGCAAGGCCGGGCCTGGCGCACTGATGGTGACACCTGCGTCTTCTGAGGACACCGGTCCGGGCAAGCGTTCTGACGCCAGTTGTGTTGTTCAGCTCTCCTCCTCCTCCTCCTCCTCCCCTAACCTCGGTCGGTCGGAGGAAGGTAACTGCCCAGTCGATGACGATGGAGTAGACTACTACGACGAGGGCGACGAGGACAGTGAGGAGCTGAACGAGCAGGAGGTCGAGGCCATCCCGGCCGAGCTCGACGACATGGACGTGAATGAAGATGAGGTCGAGCTGGTCATGGCAGAGCTCACCAACAGCCGCTCCTGCAAGCAGAACAAGGACCTCAAGAGAGCTGCTCCTCCCCAGGCTCGTCCGGACGGGCGCGGAGGCCGACCCCGACGAGACCGCCATGAACGAGGAGACGGTGCAGGACGGCGAGCACCTCCAGGGAGACGGCGATTCTTGTCCCAGGAGCAGCTCATGAAGGTGACCAAGTGCAAGCTCTGCCGCGAGAAGGGCCACTGGGGGCGGGCGGGCCCCAACGCCGGCAGCGCCAGGAAGGAGACGATCAGGAAGGAGCTGGGCGTCAAGCAGACTCCACCTCGTCGGGGAGCCTCGGCCTACACGTTCGACGGCATGGCCTCCGACGGCAGCGGAGGAGGCGCCCTCTGGTCGGGTGCAACGTGGCAGGACGTGGAGGAGGAGATCACCACGAGCTCGGTCCACCTCGCGGCCTCCGCCACCCAGGGGCGGAGGAGGAGGAGGAGGAGGAGGAGGAGGAGGAGGAGGAGGAGGAGGAAGGGGAGGAGGAGCAGGAGGAGGAGGAGGAGGAGGAGGAGGAGGAGGAGGGGGGCTGGTGGCCCCAGGAGCCCGGCACCGACCTGCCTCGGCCTCGAGGCGCTCTCCGTCGGGAGTCGGAGGGCCTGGCGAGACGCACGGGCTGCGCTAACTATACGCGGAGACTCCTCCCGAGCACCGCGGGTGCACGCTCGGCGGGCCCTTCGGTGTGGGCGGGCCCGCCAAAGTGATCAGTGGAGTGCTCGGCATCATTAAAGGGGCCCCAGGACACACAAATAAATACACACAAACAAAAAGATTCCCCATACTTTCCCATATTTTCTGGGTTTCTGTCTTCCCCCCCACTTCCCATAGTTTCCCATATTTTCCTGAGGGTCGACGATTAATTGTGTCTGTGTGTTTTTTCCCCTCCTGAATCATGAACACCACAGTTTCGGGAGAGACGGTGCCTCACATTCTAAGCGTCAATCTTCTGGATTTTCTCGAGAGTGTGGTAGACCTGCCCAACAACAAGCTGAGGCCAGGCAGCCTGCAGACGTCAATTGGCATGACGCGTCTGGGCTCCGGGCATCGCATGGTCGAGGTGGTTCGATCCTTGGACCAGCTGGCCAAGGTGCCAGCGGCGGCGCTCAGACGCGATCCTTTTCTCACAGAGGAGTCACTCATGCTTTGCAATGACAAGCCTCCGAGGATGCTGGCCGACGGCACGCTGGCGATGTACATGTCTCTCCTCCTCCTCCTCCTCCACCTCCTCCTCCTCCTCCTCCGGGCTTCCAAAGGCAGTCCGAGGCTTGGGTCAAGTCGTCCGGGGACCAGGTCAAGGAGGGGTACGAGTAGGACTACAATTGAGAGGAGTCTTGGACGGTTGGGATTTTCTACGGCGTAGCTGATAGCGCTCCTCATTACAGCCCTCCTCGTCATCTCCCTCGGGCCCGGGGCTCAGCGAGCCCGCCGAGAGAAGGTATCGGCCTCAGGATCCTTCCGTCAAGCTCAGGTCCTCAGCGAAAGGAGCGTCAACCCAGGAGGAGCCGTCGAATCCATGCCAATCCGACGCCTCGAGACACTGGCAGGTCTGATCTCAGTAGCCACTTTTTGCTCGAGCCTTTATCTTCAGACCTCGAGATCTCCTCGTACTGACAGTCGACTGAGAGCCCCTGTCGGCACCTTCCAGTGGGGCGGCCACAACGTGCAGGATCCTCTGCATGGCGATGGCCCTGATCTCCCAGGCGAGGGCCAGCCCGAGCTTCCTCGGGCAGAGCCGGGAGCAGCAGAGCGGAGAAGCTGCAACACTGGACAGGGCAGCCGTGCCAGTCGGCCAGGGCTTGACCACGGGCGCGACCACAGGCAGCACGTCTCAGCAGCCTCGACCCGGTGTGCCGAGCCAGGTGCCTCCTCAGCTCATGACGTGGGCTCAGGCCCAGACGGCAGCGGGACCCGACGGCGTGCCCTCTACGGCGGCGATCGGACACCTGTTGGACGGCACGCCTCTCCTGACCTTGGAGCACCAGCAGATGCTACTCGGGCCGCCTCCGCCTCCGAAGGAGCCACCTCCGGAGCTGAACCCAGCAGCTGCCTCCAGCAGCCATCCGCCATTCCAGCCGACACAGTGGACGGCGACGGCCGCGGCCGCGAGCCAGTCCCCGTCAGGTGTGGCTGTCGCTGGAGCCGGAGGCGCGGCCAGGCCTCCAATGCCAGCGAGGGTGTCGCCTGGTACCGCTTCCCTGAAGGGGAAGCCCGTGAGCTCACCCCCGCCACAGCCGAGGCCAGACTGCAATCACTCGCAGCCCATCGGGTACGGCAACCAGTACGGCACGGGCCAGAAGTGTCGGCTCTGCGGACTCTAGAGGTCAGTCACGAGGCGGGACGAGAACGAGACGGTCAATGCCGAGAAACCGGAGTCAGCTGCCGAGGCAGCACGCCGGGCGGCAGCCTCAGCGGAGCGAGCAATGCAGGTGCTCCCAGAGGACCCGGGCTTCAAGGCAGGTTCGGCGGCGCTGCAGACAGTCAACGACCTGAACGCCTACCTCCAGTCGCTGCAATGGTAGCTCTACCAGGTGCCGGAGGGACTGCAGGCGCTCAGCAAGGTTCGGGAGGTCATCGAGCAAATTGTGCAGTATGTGAGCAGTGCGCAGTCCCAGAACCCCGGCCAGGTGGAGGAGGAATCGCAGCTGACACAGCAGGGCATCACGCGGATCCGACGCATCCTGAAGACCCTGGAGCTGATGAGCGACGTCCTCGATCATCTCACAGGGCAGATGTCCGCCCTGACGGTGCCGATGACGAATGTCGAGCAGTCCGTGGGTCAGCTCACGCAGATGGTGGTGCAGATCGGGGCAGCGGTGATGAGTTTGGTCCACGTGGCCAACCAAGGCAGCGGCACTACGCAGGATCTACCTACCTCCCAGGGAGGCGCTTCGTTACCGACCGGAGAGGAACCACCGGGAACGATGACGACGACCTCGACCAAGGTACCGACAGCCGTCCAGGACGAGGCACCTGTGGAAATGCTGGAAGACCTGGACGGCAAGGCTCCGTTATAAGACAGTCTTTGCCAAGTCAAAAACAGGTGCCGGAGCCCGTAGCACCAGAGTAGGGCGACGAAATCTATACATATCCACTGCTCCCAGGCCAGGCCCATCCTCAACCCCGCAGCGGTGTATACGCCACGCCCTCCTGGCTTGGCCAGGAGGGCGCATACACAGCTCCTGGGTTCAAGATGGGCATGGTCAGGGAGCAGTGGATATGTATAGATTTCGTCGCCCGACAGAGTCCAGAGTCTCCTGGAGGCTCGCGCGCATCGCATCAGTTTCTATGGCATGCAGTTGCGTCGCCTCTGGTAAGAGCGACCGAGAGAGCCCAGAAGGTCACTCTTTTCTCTCTCCCCTTCTCTCACCTCAAAATGGGTCTCCTGGGAACTCGAGTGGCTCGACGGGGACCTAATGAATGTTGATCACGAAGTGTCGTGCAACACTCAGGTGCGGAAAGCTCTCGGCGACGCAGGAACTGCCGCTACGCGGCTCGATCAGGGCGCTCCGGGAACCAGGACTAGGTCCAAGGTGGCCTTTATGGAAGTCTTTCCTCCCCCGCGCAGTTCCCCCGCCGTGGCGAAGCGAGGAGCCCGTCTGGGAAAGGAGCCATCTTGGGACCTCAAGACCGGATGGGACTCGTCTCGGACGTCCGATGTAGAACGACTTTGGCGTAAGATCAAGATCGAACGTCCCGAAGTGATCCGGTAGAGGGAAACAATTACTGAACACCCCCCCTCCCCCCCAAACTCAATGTTGGCACACGCGGGGGAGACTGCGGTCGAAGTGCATGCCATCAGACCCACCGCCTACTTTGAACATTGGGGGGGGGGGGGGGGAGGGGCGTTGACAGATGAATGTGGCATGAGTGTTCGCTAATTTGTTCCGAGGCCTGTGGGTATGTTGCCCGGCACGTGGCTACCCTCGAACTGATTGGGGCGCAAAAATACAAGAAAAAGTACACGGGAAAATGCTCGAGGGGAGGATTGGGGAGGAGTCGTCTCAATCACTGCGAAAATCAAACCGTCAACCGTGGACTTACCCCGGACTGAGTCAGACAGGGGCAAGTCGAACTTGATACTTTGCTTTTCTACTTTTACGACGAACCACGGCGGCGGCCGACTGGCAACGACGACGACGTCCGGGCGCCGAGCAAGAAAACTGCCAAAGCGGCTGCATGTTGTCATGTCTAGCGCCTCCCCAACGGCCCCGGGACCCCCCAGAGGCACTTCGCGCATCCCACCCAATGTTTCACTTATTACTCGTACCACTCGTCCCAGCACTCCTTATTTTCCACATATTACTCGTATCACTCGTAAGAAAAAGAAAACAGCTCAAGAATCTTATTTTCTTTCTAGGAATGTTACGAGTGGTATGTGAAAACTAAGGAGTGATGGGACGAGTGATACGAGTAATACGCGACAAAGAAGGCGCGGGACGACTCGGGCGCCAGAACACAAAAAAAGGGATATATGCATACATGTGTACACATAAATATACATGTATACACACATACATATATTTATATATGGAAAAGTATATCATAATGGTCTCGCAGAAATCCGTGTCCGCAGAATCGCTCGGCGAACTCGCAAATGACGGGGCAAACTAAAAGATGAGACGTCTGGCTATGTTCGGAGTGCAGGGCGTTCTCGGCGATGAATCGTTTGAATCGCGATCGCATGGGCCGGGTCGAGTGGGATCGTCTGTTGTCCGAGGGTCTTAGGGACCTGACCTTATGCACGGAGATCGCAGCCTGTCAGGTGAAGCATGGGCGCCACTTCGTGTTCGAGCATCCCTTGCATGCTTCCTCCTGGGACACTCATGTCGTTAGGTTGGTCTGGGGTATGTCCAGGGTCCAGCGGATCCGGGTCGATATGTGTCGATTCGGTCTCCAGGTCGACGGCCGATGACCCAACAAGAAACCCACGGGCATCCTCAGCAACCACCCTCAGGTGCTGCGTCTCCTGGACGGGCATCTGTGCACGGGCGAACATACTCACACCGTGCTGGAAGGTGGCTCTGTCACCACCAAGGCTGGACAATACCCCCCTCAGTTTGTCAACGCGGTGGCTCGTGCCGTATCCGAGCACTGGTCCGGGGCCTCAAGGGCCAGACAGGCCCTGTGGGCGGAGCTGGCGGAGAGCTATCCTGCGGAAGCCGAGGAAGCCAATGATGGGGACCCAGAGGAGCCACTCGGCTCCGATCAAAGCGAGGATGAGCAGGAGACCCGACCATCCCAGCAGGCCAGAGCCAAGATCCCCAGGACCGAGAAGCGACTGGACTAGAAGCTTCACTGTAATATGGGCCACCCCGACAATCGCAAGTTGTTCGAGAGCTGCGGGCGGGAGGCGCCAAGCAGCGACTTATCCGGTGGGTTCGGAAAACACTTCGTTTGCTCGGACCGTGCCGAGCGATCAAAATCCGGGGCTCATCGTCGAGTGGCCCTGCCCAGGACCTTCAGGTTTAACCACATTGTCGGGGTGGACCTGTTCTTCATAGAGCTTCAGGGCGTGACGTATCCCTAGATCAATGTCGTGGACCACGGATCCAATCTTCAGGTGGTCTCCAGAGTTGAGAGCGCCACGGCTGTTGCAGTTTGGTCCGAATTTGTGAAGTCGTGGATCCGTCCGCTGGGTGCGCCACATCTGATCATCTCCGACGGTGGTTCGGAGTTCGGTGCCCGCTTTGCTCGAGGATTGGAACAGTGGGGGATCTTTCACCACGTGTGTGACGCCGACTGTCCCTGGCAGAACGGGAGGGTCGAGAGACACGGAGGTTGGACTAAGGACCGAGTGCGAATAGAACTAGAGGCAGGATCGACCCTGCCGGCCAATCTCCAGGAGCTCGACAATTTAATCTTCGAGCTTACGTCCCACAAAAACCGTTTTAGGCACAGGGGGGGTTCTCACCACTCCAGCTCGTGTTTGGAGAAAATCCCCGTCTTCCCCACGACCTCCTGTCCGACGACCATAGAGCTATCCTCGGATGGCAAGACCTCACGAGCCCGGCGTCAGAATAGGATGAAGCGGTTGCCGAATTTGCCCGGGCTCAGGCCATTCGAGCGGCCGCCAGGAGACTGGCTATGGAAGCCACCTCTCGGGACAAAATCTCCCGGGCGACCAGAGCCAGGACTCCCGGGTCCAGGAAGCTTACTTCAGGCCAGTGGGTGTTTGTGTGGCGCCAATTCACCAGGGTCTCCTCTAGGACCGACTCTCTGGGCAGACGCCGGGCTGGATGGACTGGCCCTGGGGTCGTGGTGCTGGCCGAAGGTGGCCCTGTTTAGGTGGCGGTCCGGGCCCGTTTGTGGAAGTGCTCCTCCGAGCAGGTCCGACTGGCCAGTCCTGAGGAGGAATACGGACTACAGCTGGCCGAGGACCCGCGCTGGCAGGACCTGCTCCAGGCCGCCCAGGCTCGCCGTGTGACGGCGGTCGACGTCCAACGAGAGGGCCCCCCGCCCGAGGATGCCCGGGACCAGGCCGCGCAGGCTGATCTCGGCACGGGGCCCAGGCTTCCAGGGACCAGACCAGAGCCAGACGCGGCCCCCGGACCAGAACCTCCGGCCCCTGCTCCGTATGCGACCGGGCCGCTGGGCGTCCCTCCGAGGCCGCCGAGGAGCGGCGTCCCTCGAGCCGGATCGGTCAGCGCTCACAGCCTGGGCCTGAGGAAACTGGACTTCCCTCTATCTCCGAGCTGTCTCCCTCCGAGGGAGAGCTTTCAGCCCTTTCGCCATCAACTCCTCCTCGAGAGCGTTTCTTTCTGTTCGGCGATGACGGGCGTCATGGGGGGGGGGAGGGGGGCGGGGGGGGGGCATGACGTAACTCCCGCCCCCCCGCCGTGTGGCTCCGGCACCACAGCCGCGCCCGCGCGCACGACGCGACGAGGGACAAGCGACGACGACGACGACGACGACGACGACGACGACGACGACGACGACGACGCGAGCAGCATGTAGGTGGCGATCTGCCCCCATGCGCCTGTGTACACCACAACGCTCACGTGCACCACAACGCGCGTGTACACCGCATTGCCTGCGTACATCGCAATAACCGTGTGCAGCGCTGCGCCTGTGTACACTGCAGTGCTTGCGTACACTACAGCGCCGGTGTACATGTGCACACAGGAAGCAACCATGTGCAACACAGCGCCTGTGTACTCCACAATGCTTGCGTGCACCGCGGAACCTGTGCACGCCACAGCGCCTGTCTACACCACAGCATCCGCGCGCAACGCCGCGCTATTGTACACCACAGCGCCTCCGTGCACAGGACAGGTAGGAGGAGCCTGTACGTGAGGGTCTGCTGCGGAAGCGCCACGCCAGGAAAGTGCTGATAACCGAATGCGACGTTCTTCCCTCTTCCCTTCTCCTACGACGACTGCGGACCAGACTCCTGTGCGGATTCCTGCGCGGACACCTACGCGAATCCCAACACGCACGGCGGAAGTGCCCGGAGCGCACTGGGGAGGGGAGCGCTACGTCATATGGGTGGGGGGGGGGCCCGGGGGCCATGACGCCCGTCATGCCCCAAGCAACAAAGAAATGGTCTCCTCGCTCCCCAGGCGGAGCCCGAGACGAGAGGGCCTCGGAGCCATTGCCAGCCGACCCCGTCCCTCTGCCCGCTCACCGCTCTTCTCCTCGTCCGGCTCTCAACCCCGCTTCCTCCGTCCCTCGTGGCATCCCAGGGGACGCCGGCTCCAAGGCGCGGGTCCGATTGCCTCAGCCGGACGACGCCCCGGTGTGCATCCGGGCGCGCGCCGAGAGCGCGCCGCCCGAAGTCAAGAGGGCCAGGACCCTCGAGGCCGGTGCTCCTGGCCCCTTCGACTCCTCCGTTGGTCAGTCCTCTCCCTCCTCTCCTCCTCCTCCTCCTCCTTCTTCCCCCTGTCTTGGTGGTAGTGGTGGTGGCCCGGGTGCTCAGTCGTTTCCTCATCAAGGCCAGGAACCGTCCGATTCGGACCGAGGACCCATCGAGGCCAAGCACGAACCAAGACGCTCCGTGCAGGAAAGAATCCAGGCT